GGATGCTGCTGCTGATGCTGCTGCTGCTGGCTCCTGCTACTCCTACTTCTATTACTACTATTAAAACTTCTTCTACTACTACGACTACTGCTACTACTACTACTACTACCACTACTACTACCACTACTACTACTATTAGTACTACTACTACTACTACTACTACTACTACTACTACTACTGCTACTACTGCTACTACTGCTGCTGCGACTGCTACTACTACTACTACTACTGCTGCTGCTGCTACTACTATTACTACTTTTACTACTGCTACCACTACTACTACCACTACTACTACGACGACTACTACTACTTTTACTTTTACTACTACTACTACAACTACTACTACTATTACTACTACTACTACTACTACTACTGCTGCTGCTGCTGCTTCTACTACTACTGCTGCTACTACTACTACTACTACTACTACTACTACTACTACTACTACTACTAACGCCACCACCTCCACCACCTCCACCACCACGACTACTACTACTACTACTACTACTACTACTGGTGGTGCGTGGTGGTACGTGGTGGTGGTGCGTGGTGGTGCGTGGTGGTACGTGGCGGTCATGCGTGGTGGTACGTTGGGGCACGTGGTGGTCATGCGTGGTGGTACGTGGTGGCACGTGGTGATCATACGTGGTGGTGCGTGGTGGTGCGTGGTGGTGGTGCGTGGTGGCACGTGGTGGTGGTACGTGGTGGTACGTGGTGGTCATACGTGGCGGTACGTGGTGGTACGTGGTGCTGGTACGTGGTGGTGCGTGGTGGTCATACGTGGTGGTACGTGGTGGTACGTTGTGGTCATGCGTGGTGGCGCGTGGTGGTCATACGTGGTTGTACGTGGTTGTACGTTGTGGTCATGCGTGGTGGTGCGTCTTCGTGCGTGGTGGTCATACGTGGTTGTACGTGGTGGTGCGTGGTGGTGCGTGGAGGTGCGAGGTGGTGGTGCGTGGTGGTGGTGCGTGGTGGTGGTGCGTGGTGGTCATACGTTGGGGCCGTGCGTGGTGGTACGTGGTGGTACGTGGTGGTGGTACGTGGTGGTGCGCGGTGGTACGTGGTGGTCATGCGTGGTGGTGCGTGGTGGTCATGCGTGGTGGTACGTGGTGGTCATGCGTGGTGGTCTTACTTGGTGGTCCGTGGTGGGGTGCGTGGTGGGGTACGTGGTGGTACGTGGCGGCACGTGGTGGTCATACGTGGTGGTCATGCGTGGTGTTGGTGCGTTGTGGTACGTGGTGGTGGTACGTGGTGGTGCGTGGTGGTGCGTGGTGGTCATGCGTGGTTGTGCCTGGTGGTACGCGGTGGTCATGCGTGGTGGTACGTGGTGGTGGTGCGTGGTGGTGGTGCGTGGTGGTGGTGCGTGGTGGCACGTGGTGGTCATACGTGGTGGTGCGTGGTGGTACGTGGTGGTAGTGCGTAGTGGTACGTGGTGGCCATGCGTGGTGGTACGTGGTTGTCATGCGTGGTGGCGCGTGGTGGTACGTGGTGGTCATGCGTGGTGGCACGTGGTGGTGGTATGTGGTGGTCATGCGTGGTGGTACGTGGTGGTGCGTGGCGGTCATAGGTGGTACGTGGTGGTCATACGTGGTGGCACGTGGTGGTGGTACGTGGTGGTGGTACGTGGTGGCCATACGTGGTGGTGCGTGGTGGTACTTGGTGGTGCGTGGTGGTGGTACGTGGTGGTGCGTGGTGGTGCGTGGTTGTTTTGCGTGGTGGTACTTGGTGGTGCGTGGTGGCCTTGCGTGGTGATGCATGGTGGTACGTGGTTGTCATGCGTGGTGTGCGTGGTGGTCATACGTGGTGGTCATGCGTGGTGGTACGTGGTGGCACGTGGAGGTGGTACGTGGTGGTGCGTGGTGGTCATACGTGGTGGTGCGTGGTGGTGCGTGGTGGTACATGGTGGTGGCGCATGGTGGTGCGTGGTGGTGCGTGGTGGTGGTACGTGGTGGTGCTTGGTGGTCACGCGTGATGGTGCGTGGTGGTCATGCGTGGTGGTGCTTGGTGGTGGTGGTGGTGCGTGGTGGTGCGTGGTCGTCATATGTGGTAATACGTGGTGGTGCGTGGCGGTGCGTGGTGGTGGTGCGTGGTGGTGCGTGGTGGTCATGCGTGGTGGCACGTGGTGGTCATGCGTGGTGGTGCGTGGTGGTCATGCGTGGTGGTGCGTGGTGGTGCGTGTGGTGCGTGGTGGGGTGCGTGGTGGCACGTGGGGGCACGTGGTGGTTGTACGTGGTGGCGGTGCGTGGTGGTGCGTGGCGGTGCGTGGTGGTGGTGCGTGGTGGTGCGTGGTGGCGCGCGGTTGCCATGCGTGGTGGTACGTGGTGGTACGTGGTGGTCATGCGTGGTGGTGCGTAGTGGTCATGCGCGGTGGTCATGCGTGGTGGTACGTGGTGGCACGTGGTGGTGGTACGTGGTGGTCATACGTGGTGGTCATACGTGGTGGTCATACGTGGTGGTGCGTGGTGGTGCGTGGTGGTTGTGCGTGGTGATGCGTGGTGGTCATACGTGGTGATACGTGGTGGTACATGGTGGTCATGCGTGGTGGTACGTGGTGGTCATACGTGGTGGTGCGTGGTGCTCAGTGGTGGTACGTGGTTGTCATGCGTGGTGGTGCGTGGTGGTGCGTGGTTGTCATGCGTGGTGGTGCGTGGTGGTGCGTGGTGGCGGTGCGTGGTGGTGCGTGGTGTTCATAAGTGGTGGTGCGTGGTGGTCATGCGTGGTGGTCATGCGTGGTGGTACGTGGTCGTCATACGTGGTGGTGCGTGATGGTGCGTTGTGGCATGTGGTGGCGGTGCGTTGTGGTACGTAGTGGTCATGCGTGGTGGTCAAGCGTGGTGGTACGTGGCGGTGCGTGGTGGTACGTGGTGGTGGTGCGTGGTGGTGCGTGGTGGTCATGCGTGGTGATGCGTGGTGGTGCGTGGTGGCCATGCGTGGTGGTACGTGGTGGTGCGTGGTGGTCATGCGTGGTGGTGCGTGGTGGTGCGTGGATGGTGCGTGGTGGTGCACACGTGGTGGTGGTACGTGGTGGTGCGTGGTGGTCATCTCGCCGTTGTCGATCTCGCCCCCGCAGCCACCGTCGCTTCGCCGTCCCCCCAACCGCCGTCGTCCCACCGTGGTCTGACCCCCCATCCACCGCTGTCTCGCCCCCCAGCCTCCGTCTTCTCACCGTCTTCTCACCCCCCAGCCATTGTCGTCTCACCCCCCCGCCGCCGTCGTCTCGCCGTCGTCTCACCCATCAGCCGCCCTCGTCTCATCGTCGTCTCAACCGCCAGCCACCGTCCGTCTCACCTGCGTGTCACCCCCCCAGCCGCCCTCGTCTCACCCCCCAGCCACCGTCGTCTCGCCGTCGTCTCACCCCCCCGGTCACCCGCCCTCCCCCCCCAGCCGCCGTCGTCTTACCGTCGTCTCACCCTCCGAAAGCGCACAGGAAAGCATACGGTTTCCCCAGATCTTTCGGGATTGATTTTCAGGCCCAATGGGTTTTCTCTGCAGCCAACTCTCCGAAAGCGAATTCCGACAACAAAAAAGCAGGAGATTCCCCCAGATCATCTGGGCTCGTTTTTCCAGGCCCGATGAGATTTCGTTGCCGCCGATTCTCCAAAAGCGAATTTCGAGCATATGAACGCGTGAAATTCCCCCAAATCCGTCGGGCTTAATTTTCAGGCCCGATGGATTTTCGCTGCCGCCGATTCCCCGAAAGTGAAATCCGAGCACCGGAATGTATGATAACCCAAAGATCCTTCGGGCTTGATTTCCAGGCCCGATGGGTTTTCGCTGCTTCCCACCCTCCGAGAGCGAATTCTGAGTACAGGAAAGCATGAGATTCCCCCAAATCCGTCGGGCTTAATTTTCAGGCCCGATGGATTTCGCTGCCGCCGATTCCCCGAAAGTGAAATCCGAGCACAGGAATGCATGAGAACCCAAAGATCCTTCGGGCTTGATTTCCAGGCCCGATGGGTTTTCGCTGCTGCCGACCCTCCGAGAGCGAATTCTGAGTACAGGAAAGCATGAGATTCCCCCAAATCCGTCGGGCTTAATTTTCAGGCCCGATGGATTTTCGCTGCCGCCGATTCCCCGAAAGTGAAATCCGAACACAGGAATGCATGAGAACCCAAAGATCCTTCGGGCTTGATTTCCAGGCCCGATGGGTTTTCGCTGCTGCCGACCCTCCGAGAGCGAATTCTGAGTACAGGAAAGCATGAGATTCCCCCAAATCCGTCGGGCTTAATTTTCAGGCCCGATGGATTTTCGCTGCCGCCGATTCCCCGAAAGTGAAATCCGAGCACAGGAATGCATGAGAACCCAAAGATCCTTCGGGCTTGATTTCCAGGCCCGATGGGTTATCGCTGCTGCCGACCCTCCGAGAGCGAATTCTGAGTACAGGAAAGAATGAGATTCCCCCAAATCCTTCGTCGCCCCACGCAGCCACCGTCGTCTCACCGTCGTCTCACCCCCAGCCAAGGTCGTCACCCCCTCCCAGCCACCGTCGCGTCACCGTCGTTTCACCCCGCCATTGTGACGTCACGAAGCGTGTTACCCACCAAAAGACCTGACCAAAAAAGCTCGCAGGCAGAAAAAAACACAACCCCCCAGAGACATCCGACCCTGTGGCCTATGGTCAAGGCCCTTAAGGCCTAAGGTCAGTCATCGCGGGGCGCGCAGGGAAACTGGGGGTCTCTGTGTCTCTCTCTGTCTCTCTCTTGTTCTTCTCTTGAAGGAAGCCGCAAAACGTGTAGGTCATCCCGGCCTTGTAAGACCGCGCCCGCCTTTTTTGTTTGCTGTGCGTTGTTTGTTTTCGGTTGCAGTCGTCCCCCCCAGCGACCCGGCCCGCGACCCCCCCCTAATAGGGGGCGCATCCGAATACTTCAGTTCCATGTAGGTTATATCTCCAGGCTGGCCCGCCGGGCTACTGATCTCGCGTGTTCGCGGCGCTCGCTGGTGGCATGTCCGCGCTCGCCCCCCTCAGCTCTCCCCTTTCCGAACGTTGGCACGCGCCGCAGGCGCGGCAGCGGATTCTCTGCCGCTGGTGCGCGCAGAAGGTTTCGGACTGCCCCGTGTGCCGACAGACGCTCGTGGACGTCATCCGAACCTACAAGGCGTGAGGCCTGCCCGGCCGCTGCGGGGATGGCCGACCGTCGACGCGGCGACGAGACGCGGGCCCGTCTGTGGCGTCGCTGGCCTCCAGCTCGTCCTCCTCCCGTCCTCCTCCTCCTCCTCCTCCTCCTCCTCCTCCTCCTCCTCCTTCTCCTCCTCCTCCTCCTCCTCCTCCTCCTCCTCTTCGTCCTCATCCTCCACTGCTCCTCCTTACCAACAGCCTTTCCAGGATAGCCTAGGACTCCAGAGTTTGGCAGCCAGCCGGCAGAGCGCTGCGATCGGATCCGTGGCCCCAGTTGGGTTCACTCAAGGCCCATCGAGGGATGCCTTCTGCTGATAACGAAGCTGATCGTGGGCAGATTTGGGGGAACTCCCTCGCCGACCGCTCCGCTGGGCTTGGCTCGAGAGCTCCTGGGCCCCCGAGAAGCACGAAGCACGATCGATCTCCACCCGCAAGCTTCTGAACAGTTCAGCTGAGAACCGTGCAGTCTGCACAGCTGCAGTTCTAAGCGAGTTGCCATCCCACAAAGACTCAGAAGGTAAACCCCTCAAGCCTCGCCGCCCCCATGTCCCCAGCCCTGTGGCCCCTCTGCCTATCTGCCAGCTTGGGACGGCACGGCCTACAGGTGCAGGACATGCTTGCCCGCATGCGTGAAGCAAGCATTGTCATCAGTATCATCCTTACCTACTCCTGCTCGTTCCCTGGTCCTCCCTTGTTGCCCTCCTCCTTCTCCTCACCGCCATCATCACCATCATCGTGCTCATCAGCACTCCTCAGTCTTCACTCCGCACTCCCTAGTCCTCCTCGTTCACACCCCTCGTCCCCGCTCCCCACTCCTCTGCCTCATCTAGACACCTATCCAGTGCTCGCCACTATTACCGCACATCGTTTTCCTCACGTCTCCCGATCCGCCTTCTCAACATCATCAGCTCCACGTCTTCACTCTCATCGTCACCGCACAATCCCTTCTCCTCAGTACGCATCACCACCACTCATCATTCATCCTGCCTCTTTGTACTAACCATCCTTACACGCCGGTCGTTGAAAGTAGGTATTTTCGGAGTCCCAGATTCCAATCTACTTTCGGCGCCTTCCTACTTCAAGAGTCAAGTGGTTTTCCCTCATCCCTCCTCTTCAGGAGGCGGGCGGAAACCCAATATATTTCCAACGCCTTCCTACTTCCTGTTTATACCTACTTCTTCCGACCGATGGGTACTCTTGCCTCATCGTTCGCCAGCTGCTGCTCCTCGTCCTCCTCCTCCTCGAGCTCTTCACTCGTCGCCATCTCCTCGTCCCAGTCCTCAGTCGCGCTCTATCTCTTCACTTCTCACCCCTTACCCCTCCTCACCTCTCGTCATCGTCCTCATCCTCAACCTCATCATCAATCCCAGTATTCATCCTGCCCCTGCACCTCCTCACTTGTCCTTTTCACCACTCTGCACTCCTCATTCCCCTCCCCACTCCCCATTCATCACCACCCCTCCCCCTCCTTCTCACAGCCACGCCTCCACATCCTGTTCATGACTCTCACCTATTCTTCTCACTCAGTGCCATCATTATCCTCATTACTTCTGCTCGCTCCTCCTCCTCCTTGTCATCCTTTTCTTCTCCTCCTCATCCTCCTCCTCCTCACTCCTCACTCCTCACTCCTCACTCCTAACTCCTCACTCCTCACTCCTCACTCCTCACTCCCGCTCCTCCTTCTCCTCCTCCTCCTCCTCCTCCTCCTCCTACTCCCTTCTCCTCCTCCTTCTCCTCCTTCTCCTCCTCTCATCCTCCTTACTCCTCGCCAGCGTTGTTTCCGCGAAAGCTCTCCAGCAGTCCCATCGTTTTGCTCCATAGTTACCCCGTCCTAGAGTGGTACATCATGGTGGTGCACCAGGCCTCTGGTCAAGTTCTTCACGTCTCGTCACTCCTTCTGCTCCTCACTCTTCCTCCCCATTCCTTACTAATCCGCCTCCTACCCCCTTCGGGGCACAAGCTCCGAAGTTACATGCGCGCTGCTTCGGAAGCGCTGCATAAGTCGCACTGAGGCCAGTTGGAAACTGGAGAGTGACCCGGTGCGAGTGGACAATTGGCCAGTGACCCCTTCTATGTCCCTCCTACTCCTCCTCCTCCTCCCTCCTCCCTCCTCCTCCTCATCCTCTTCCTCTTCTTCCTCCTCCTCCTCCTCCTCCTCACTCCTCCTCCTCTTCTTCGTCTTCTTCTTCCTCCTCCTCCTCCTCCTCCTGTCGCGACGCTCCTTGCTGCGCAGCACCTGCACGGAGGGAGGGCGGAAGATGAGGAGGAGGACGAGGAGAAGGAGGGGAAGAGGGAATGGGAGGAGGAGGAGGAGGAGGAGGAGGAGGAGGAGGAGGAGGGGCCGCTGAGGGAGGGACGAAGAAGAAGAAGAAGAAACGGGTGGAGGATGGAGGTCCCAACGGACCGAAGTCGCCCTCCCTCCCTCCCGTCGTCCCCTCGTCGATCCCCCCATACCTCTATCCCTCCATCCATCCGTCCCTCCCCCCCTCCATCCCTCATCCGTCCACACGTCCATCCTTCCATCCATCCACGCGTCCATCCCTCCATCCCTCCATCCCTCCATCCGTCCACACATCCATCCCTCCATGCAAACATCCCTTCATCCCTCCATCCCGCCATCCCACCATCCGTTCATCCCTCCATCCCTCCATCTCTCCATCCCTCCATCCTTGCGTGCCTCGATGTCTCCATCCCCCCATCTCTCCACCCTTCTTCCCTCCTTTACTCCATCCGTTTGGATCCCACACAGGGTCTCCTTTTCGGGCAGTCTTGGGGGCCCCCAGGGCCGTGTTGTAGCCCTTTTAGGGGCCTGTCAGGCCGTCTGGAGCCCTCTTCGGGGCCTCTTCTGCTGTCTTGGGCCGATATTGGGAGCCTCTTGGGCCGTCTCGGGGCCCTCTTGGGCCATCTTGGGGCCGTCTTCGGGGGGCTCTTTGGCCGACTTAAGAGGTTCATATGCCGTCTAGGGGCCTCCATGGGCCGTCTTGGAACCATGTTTGGGGGCCTCTTCAGGCGTCGTGGGGCGATCTTCAGGGCCTTCTGAGCCGTCTTAGAGCGTCGGGAAGCCTTGGAGGGGAAAGCGCGGCGATCTTTGAAACACTGCAGGAACATCGAGGAGTTTTGCTTTTTGGAGCTCCCTTGCGGCCTCAATGAGGCCACAAGGGAGGTTTGGGTCAGCTCGACAAGCTGGCCCAAGCCTCAGCAGGACCCACGACGGCCTTCAGCGGACGCTACAAGATGGCCCTGACGACAGCCCCAGGGGAGCTGGCGGACCTGGCGGGAACAGCGGGCCCCGCGGGCCCGGGGGGCCCAGGGGACCCGGCGGGCCCGGCGGCCACACAGAAGATTATGGTGATGATTATGTTGATGGTGATGATTTTGGTGATGATGATGCTGATGATGCTGATGATGATGTTGATGATGATGATGATGATGATGCTGATGATGCTGCTGATGATGATCAGTATGATGAATATGATGAGGTGATGCTGATGATGATGCTGATGATGCTGATGAATAGTATGATGAGTATGATTATGGTGATGGTGATGCTGACGCCGTTGATCATGCTGGTGATCATAATGGCCATGATGATGATATTGATGATGATGCTGATGCTGATTAGGATGATGACGATGATGATGATGATGGTGGTGGTGGTGATGATGATGATGCTGCTGATGATGATGATGCTGATGGTGGTGATGGTGATGGTGATGGTGGTGTCGATGGTGATGGTGCTAATGAAGATGTTGTTGATGGTGATGCTGATGGTGATGGTGATACTGATGATGATGGTCATTGTGATTGTGATGATGCTGATGCTGATGATGATGAGGAGGAGGAGAAGGAGGAGGAGGAGGACAAGGATGAGGAAACTGAGGAGGAGGAGGAGGAAGAGGAGGGGGAGGAAGAGGAGGAGGAGGAGGATAAGGAGAAGGAGGAGGAGGAGGAGGAGGAGAAGGAGGAAGAGGGACATGTAATGCGAGGAAGTTCCAAGCGAGAGCCGCACTTTGAAAGCGAGCCAGCATCCATGCTTACAAGCAGCGCGGAAACTGTTACGACGAGCGTGCTGGGCGCTGGAGCGAGAACTGTAGTTTGAGCGCGAATTCTAGACGTTTCGAGCAATACCCCACCAGCCCATCCAGGAATGGTGCCCAGGCGAGTTGCCCTGGTCAGGGATGTGGTCGAGCATGCAGTGGAATAAAGGGCTGGGGAAGCTGCCGTACCCCTAAGAGAGGGAAGATGGAGGAGGAATCGGAGGGGGAGGGGAAGGGGAAGGAGGGATGAGGGAGGAGGAGGAGCAGGAGGAGGAGGAGGATGAACAGGCGGATGAGGAAGAGGAGGAGGAGGAGGAGGAAAACCATACTAGGAAGATGATGATGGCGAGCAGATAGGCCGCAGGCATCTTGGATGTCTCTCGGAGTCTCTTCGGGTGTCTCTTGAGAGTTTCGTGGGGTCCTATTGTGGCGCCTCGGGGGCCTCTTGACGGTCCCAGGGGCCTCTTGAAACATCGTGGGTGCTTCGCGGGAGCCTCTCGGGACCTCTTTGCAGCATCTTGTGAGCCTCTTGGGGGCCTCTTGGGGACCTCTTGGGGGCCTCTTGGGGACCTCTTGGGGCCTCTTGGGGGCCTCTTGGGGCCTCCTGGGCGCCTCTTGGGGCCGTCTTGGGGCACCCTTGGGAGCCTCGCGGGTCATCTTGGGGCCATTTAGGAGGAGATCGATCAAAGGAGCCTCGCGGGCCATCTTGGGGCCATCTAGGAGGAGATCGATCAAAGGAGGGGGGACTTAATCAGCCCCCCAGGAGGCCACAATGGGCCCAAAGCCTTAGCACAAAAACACTTAGTTTGGCTTTCTCGCCGAGGCCGTATGGGACGCGCTGGTAGACACCTCGCGAAACGCCCCGTCCGGGTCCAGGGGGAGGGGGTAGGGGGAGGGGCAAACCACTCCCCGAAGGGGAAGACGGAGAAGATGGAAGAGACAACTCGCT